GACGGTATGTCAGTCTAGGTTAAGACAAATTATATACATATCTATGGTATTAAAAAAAAATTGACCTATAATAAATTCCAAATTAATCATATCACAATATCCATTAGGTAATTATAACACGTTATACACCAACAACAAACCCTGATACTATCATATATATATAATAGTACACTTTAGAAGTTTCAAGTAGGTACCCACGAATAATATTATATAATCACAACAAAATAACTAGGTTTTTTAATATGTAATTTCGTCCAAATTTGAACATAAAATGACTATAAAAGTAAACTGTGATTGTATATTTTTTAGATTTTTCGGTAAGAGAATTAACTACTTACGTGGAATCTTGTTTTAAATTTTCAATCCTTAGCTATAAAAACTGAACATTTTATAATTTATTAATTACGATGATTAATAATTTTCGAGATTTTGAAAAATTCTATCAAAATTCGATGTTAAAATGCTTATAAAAAAAAATTGTGCCTATGTATTTTTAATATTTTTCAACTGATATTGTAACAATATATCATTAGCCTTGTATTAAATTTTTACACTTTTTGGCCCAACAGATAAAACTTAATTGATATTTATAGAAAAAAAAAAACTAAAAAAATTGAAAACTGAAAATGTCCGTAAACGGCTCAAAAAGTGTCAAAATATTTTCAAAATTGTAGGGTGTATAGGAAATGCTAATATAAACATTCAGTGAAATTTTCATGTATCTACAGTAATTCGTTTTTTAATTACAACAAAAAAAGGAAATTGCCACATGAGAAATCGAGTGAATATCCAATGTTGTAAAAATTTGAATTTCAAACGCTCATAAAAATTTAATTTGACTTTCCGGTAGAGATTTTTTTATTGATAAAGGTAGACAATCTTATGAGTAATCTTGTATTAGATTTTCAAATCTTAGATTTAAAAAGAAAAATTTTTACGAATTCTTAACTCAAAATAATTTGCTAATTTTCGTGATTTTTCCATATTTTGTCAATTTTTGAACTTTAAATGCTTATAAAAAAAAATTGTGACTAAGGATTTTTAATATTTTTCATCTGCCTTTGAAACAACATATTAGGAGCCTTCTATTCAATTTTCAAGCTTTCGCAACCAACAAATAAAATTTTATTGCTATTTTTAGAAAAAAAACTAAAAAAAAATGGAAAATGAAAATGTCCCTAAACAGTTCAAAATAAATCAAAATATTTTGAAAATGTTATCGTGTATAGAAAATGCAAATATAAACAACCAGTGAAAATTTCATGTATATACGTTCATTTGTTTTAGAGTTACACCAATAACCAAAATCGATTTTTTGGAAAATCAATTTTGCGTAAAAATTCCCGTTTTTCCTTAATTTTTATGTTGTTTTTCCCGGCGCTTGTGAAAACTACTGGGAAATTTAAATTTTGACCTCCCCAATGCACCAACGATATTCACTTTCCAATCGAACAAGATACTGAAGTCGAAAATCGAAGCATTATTTCGACTACTTATCGTGTACACAGATACAAAAAAAATAAAAAAAAAGGTGGGTAAGTGGATGTCGCTCTGCTGTACAGTAGGTTACAAGTGGGTCACTGTATAATTGATGCTATTAAATTTGAATTCAATGATACAATATCATTGTATAAGAAAAACGATTCTGAGCGAAGACGGTATGTCAGTCTAGGTTAAGACAAATTATATACATATCTATGGTATTAAAAAAAAATTGACCTATAATAAATTCCAAATTAATCATATCACAATATCCATTAGGTAATTATAACACGTTATACACCAACAACAAACCCTGATACTATCATATATATATAATAGTACACTTTAGAAGTTTCAAGTAGGTACCCACGAATAATATTATATAATCACAACAAAATAACTAGGTTTTTTAATATGTAATTTCGTCCAAATTTGAACATAAAATGACTATAAAAGTAAACTGTGATTGTATATTTTTTAGATTTTTCGGTAAGAGAATTAACTACTTACGTGGAATCTTGTTTTAAATTTTCAATCCTTAGCTATAAAAACTGAACATTTTATAATTTATTAATTACGATGATTAATAATTTTCGAGATTTTGAAAAATTCTATCAAAATTCGATGTTAAAATGCTTATAAAAAAAAATTGTGCCTATGTATTTTTAATATTTTTCAACTGATATTGTAACAATATATCATTAGCCTTGTATTAAATTTTTACACTTTTTGGCCCAACAGATAAAACTTAATTGATATTTATAGAAAAAAAAAAACTAAAAAAATTGAAAACTGAAAATGTCCGTAAACGGCTCAAAAAGTGTCAAAATATTTTCAAAATTGTAGGGTGTATAGGAAATGCTAATATAAACATTCAGTGAAATTTTCATGTATCTACAGTAATTCGTTTTTTAATTACAACAAAAAAAGGAAATTGCCACATGAGAAATCGAGTGAATATCCAATGTTGTAAAAATTTGAATTTCAAACGCTCATAAAAATTTAATTTGACTTTCCGGTAGAAATTTTTTTATTGATAAAGGTAGACAATCTTATGAGTAATCTTGTATTAGATTTTCAAATCTTAGATTTAAAAAGAAAAATTTTTACGAATTCTTAACTCAAAATAATTTGCTAATTTTCGTGATTTTTCCATATTTTGTCAATTTTTGAACTTTAAATGCTTATAAAAAAAAATTGTGACTAAGGATTTTTAATATTTTTCATCTGCCTTTGAAACAACATATTAGGAGCCTTCTATTAAATTTTCAAGCTTTCGCAACCAACAAATAAAATTTTATTGATATTTCTAGAAAAAAAACTAAAAAAAAACTAAAAATGAAAATGTCCCTAAACTGTTCAAAATAAATCAAAATATTTTGAAAATGTTATCGTGTATAGAAGATGCAAATATAAACAACCAGTGAAAATTGCATGTGCCTACGGTCATTTGTTTTAAAGTTACACCAAAAACCAAATTCAATTTTCTGAAAAATCGATTTTGCGTAAAAATTCCCGTTTTTCCTTAATTTTTCTTTTGTTTTTCCCGGCGCTCTTGAAAACTACTGGGAAATTTAAATTTTGACCTCCCCAATGCACCAACGATATTCACTTTCCAATCGAACAAGATACTGAAGTCGAAAATCGAAGCATTATTTCGACTACTTATCGTGTACACAGACACAAAAAAATAAATATAAAAATAAAAAAATAATTAAAAAAATAAAAAAAAAAACACACATCATTGTAAAATCAATACATTCATCGTTTCACTCAGAATCTAATAAAAAAATAAATATAAAAACACACATCATTGTAAAATCAATACATTCATCGTTTCCTCAGAATCTAAAATATATAAATAGAGTAGAGTCTATAATACATATTATATGTCTTATTAAATTTTAAAGTTTATATAACAATTTGTGAGTTGTAATTTTCTAGATTTTATAAAATTTGTTAGAATATAATTTAATAAATTTTGAGTTAAGTCTTAAATGTGAAAAGCAAACATTACACATTTTTACTAAAAAAAAATATACATATAAACAAATGTGTTAATAATCTGTTTGTTTTAACCAATCAACAGGTTAAATTACTTTTTATAATTTCGGTTATACAAATGTGCTCTATCTTACAGTAAACACTATATAATAAAGTGAATAGAAAAGCATTATCGTGTAGTTTTTTTTTTTTTAGTTTAAATCTGCGAATCATGTATATAGATTTTTTTATATTACAGGTAGGTATATTATCAAAAACAATATATTTTAAAAAACTGAGGAAATTATTTTATAACGATGTATAATATCATTTTTAGTACCTATAAACATATTTTGGTGCAATAAAGGTATGCTCTTAGATTTATTACTATACTGTAAAATTAACAGAATCGTAAACTTGTTTAGGAAAATATTGAAAAATATTAAATTGTGAACGAATTCATTTATCTATGATTGTTCGTGTTAAAATAATTATCAGGTAACAAAGTATTGCCTGATTACAGGAATAGATACTGATGTTAAACACCTATTATAGTTATTGGACAACTGATAAATTTAAAATACCTATACATATATTTATCACGAATTTACCATTCACAGTATTATTACAGTTTTATTACAGTAGTTATAACTAAAAGAAAGTGTCGATTATAAATAATTAAGAATTCGAATTTTAAAGAAATGAACATTTTAAACGGAACAAAAAATTATCGCTTCATGTTATACGTATCTTTTATGTAAACCTTATTAGGTACCTTATTATATAAAATACAAGTTATAATTGTAATCACTTAAAACGTGTGATCTAGTCGTAACTATAACATTATTTTGTAAATAATTTTTGACAGGCATTTATTGGTATAAATATTGGTGATAAAATGGGAGTATTGACGAACATTTTTAAAATTGTTTAGTTTTGTACAATCATAAAATTCAAATGTAAATGTGTAATGTGAATAAAAGAAAAAGAGAAGACCATCACACTTTTGCACGATCTAAATTTTAGAAATATTGTATAGGTTCAGACTTATATTCAGAATGTTCATTATTATTAACACTTTTTTATATTTTACTGTCACAAATACTAAATGCAAATTTTGTCATATATGACCTACGATTGTCATTGTTTAAAACGATAAGGTCGACAAATAGGTTTCTAGTTACTGAGGACGAGTTTTTATACTGTTTAAATATGTTTGCTATTACTATGCTGATGCTGTAGGTACATCATTATCTGCATAATATATACACACTGCATATTAATTCATTTGTCGCCGTCGTTCAACTATACTTTTACTTGCTTTGAGGTTTTCGACATTTCTCTCAATTGTAATAATTTTATTTTACTTTTTATGTTTTTTAGATTGGTTATACCTATTTATTGTTGAGTCTGAACAAATCACAATTGTATGATTCCGTATATTTTTTAGCGAGCTTGTGGGTAAGAAGGATTTTTGTAGTTTTTATTGATTTATATTAAATGTATATAATATTTCAGAAACTAAAACCACTATCATGGAATCAAAAAATAGGAGGCCTTCAGAATCGAGGTCGATTATAGACAGTTAGTTGTACAAATATTACTAATAAAAATACCAATTATCTATAAAATAGTTTATGACTGAAATAATTCTATTATAAAATATAATAATAACAATAATTTTTTATTAAACCATTTTTTTTTTTAATAGGTGCTTGTTCAAAGCGTTATGTAATAGCTATCATGGGATTCATAGGCATTGCTAATGCATATGCTATGCGATCAGTTCTGAGTGTAGCTATTACTGAAATGGTAGAAGACATTCATAGAACAGCCATAGACCCTAATGGGTGCCCAGGACCATTAAAAACGGCAAACACTACGAATCCTGTATGTTAATTTAATTTGTTTTACATTTTACATGTATTAGGTATAATAAAATTTAAAAAATGAGCTGGATACAAATCTATATTATATTATATTATATTTATTGGGCTTTGATTCGCTCACCAAGCCAATGTTGTATCACGTGTACATTTAAAACATTTACACAATAGTCAACAATTATCGTATTAAACAACTGATTTTAAAAATAGAATAAACTTCGATTTACAGCATCATTATATACTCATAAAAAAATGTATACCTAAGTTGAAATTGAATGAACATGATAATGATTACCTGCCTAATAAGTATGAATAAATTAATAACTCAGTATTAAAATGTCTAATGTTTATACCTAATGAATAAATTGCATTGAAAGTCAATTAAAGATTACTTTATCGTTAATATTATATCAAGTTATTAAATTCGTTATCTGTGAAAGTGTGAAATATTATAATACATACATACTAATATTCGTACGATTGAACTAAAGTTAACCAGTTACATTGATTTTGATTTAATAGAATCTATGAAAAAATATTTGGTATAAACTAATAAATGTTCAAACAATAATATTAATAATCAGGTGTAGAATAAAACGTTCGTTAGTTCAGCTTAAGCAGTTATATTATGCACTTTGAGACGATATGTGTTAAAACATACATACTACGATCTTTAGCACTAGGTATAATATATTAAACTGTCAACTGTTTAAACAATTTAGAAGTAATTTATTCTAATATTATTTTTTATGTTCCTTTGTAGAATGCCGAATTTGATTGGTCTGAAACACTTCAGGGGCATATCCTTGGTGCTTTCTACTATGGATATGTATTTGCTCAGATACCAGGTGGTATTTTGGCACAGAAATATGGTGGAAAACATGTGTTTGGTGTTGGTATTTTCCTGACCGCTGTTCTAACACTATTGACGCCAATTGCTGCCAGGATTGGTCCAGCGTACATGATCGGTGTTAGAGTACTTGAAGGCATTGGTGAAGTAAGTGTCATTACGAATTTAAGAAAAATTATTATAAGTACATTTTTGTATTTGAAAGTATATTGAAGAGTACGTTGTAACTTAATGTATTGTTATGGAATTAAATTACGGAGTTGATACACTGCAGTCCATTGTGATAACAAAACCGTCCCTTTGCGTGAAGGAAATGTATTATAATTTTTAGAAAATGTACTTGATTATAAATAAACTATTAAATATTATATAACTTATAGGCAAAGAAGGTTATTTCTTAGTCAATATATTATCTAACTTCAATATTTTAAATTGGGATATTTGGAACGGAGTAGCGGTAGTTTAATATAATTGTATCCCAATACATTACCGGGCAATGATAAAATGTATAAAACTCGTACCTACATAGATTTACATGGGAAATGTAATTCATTTAATAAAAACAAATGAAAATATATGTTATTATTAGTATAATAATTTTATCATTATAGTTATTAAGTAAATACAGAAAAGATGATAACCTCTTCAATTCGAAACGCCATAACAGCAACACTGCACTACCTAGTGAATAGAATAAACTCTAAAGCTAATTTGTTTGATAATATGGTACTAAAACAATGGTAATGAATAATATTTATATAATAACTATGATATATGAACTAAATATTTTAATTATATTTGAGATTTAGCTACAATTTAGCATCTGTTAAGTTTTATATCATTAATTAACATACATAATTCTAGTAGGTACCTATAGATTTATGCATTAGGTAAACAGTTTTGAACCCAATTAATCTATATTATAATATATGAAATTAATAATTTAAATAAAAATGATTACCAAGTTACAACACCATTAATATTTTGATCAATATATTACTTGGGTATCAGACATCGGTCGTATTATTACTTATCATTTATAACTAAAAAAATTAAAAATAATAATATGTACTTAGGTATGTATGTATGTATTACACCTTGAAATATGCACCTAAATATTAAGATCTTAAAATTTTTAAAAAATGTTATACTTTTTTTGGAAATAATATGCTCTTAAACGAAATATTATTGAATAGGCACCTGCTATTTGTTTTTGATAAATGTGTGTTGAAAAACATGGATTTTCGATTAAGTTTAAAGAGATAAATTACTTTTTTTGATCATTGATATAATACTTAAAGAAGTTTTTCTTTTTTGAAATATTGTAAAATATATATAAAAATAAATAAATATTAAATTATTACATTTCTTTGGTTAGACAAAAATAAAATAGTAAAAAAAGAATATAAAAATAACCATTTATAAACATAAGACATATTATTTGAATTACCTAACCAATATCAAAACTTTTCCAAAATAATTCACCTACCTACTAATTATTATAGTCTATACTCTATAGGATTATAAAACCATGAATATGTGTCCAAACAATTTTATCATATTTTGTTTTATAACATTTTATTTTATATACATAAATCAAACATAAAATATAGTAAAATTACTTGTCTACCAAATATGCTTCAATATATTTATAGGTACCTACCTATACCTATGTATTTAATATGAATATTTAATATTGCACAATATTAAGCTATCCCTGAAATATGCATTTATATTTATATGCACTACCTAGGTAGGTACCTATAAACTTTTTTCTATGTATTCTCTGCTAAACAAATCATCGAAATTTCTAACTAGTTACTCTTATCAAACTGTATGCTTTTAAAAAAAAAAACATATGAACATTTTTAATAATCCAGAATCTACTTATAACTTACTATACACGTTTCTGTGGACTGTGGTGTTCGACCTGATGATAAAAAATGACAAGTGTGAAATTTGAATAGTGCCGACAAACGGCATCATCACGCAATCGAATACATTTCGAGAAGTCAAGCGATAAAGTTTGTTATTACTTATTAGTTATTAGTACCATTGATTATAAATACTAATATTTATAATCAATGCTAGTAAGTAGTAACTATACAGTATACGGGCTACGATCTAATAAAATAATTTAAGTACAGCCGAACAACTTAAAAAATAGACATTTGTTGAAAATTTGACTGGAAATATAATATTAGGTTTCAAAAAAACAAAGGTTAAGATATATATAAAATGCCATGGATTTCACATATTAGTATGATATTATATTGACCACATATATTTTAGTGGTTAACAAATTTCCATAGAACGATTTTTTGTTATAATTCAAAAAACTATTACCCGTGGGTACTTGAAATGTTCACTAAATTTTTATTTTATCATTTTCTATACATGATATTTTGACTCTATTTATAGAAATTTTCAATTTACAAGTTTTTTTTTCTATAAATTTCAATTAATTACTGTTTTCTGTTGAGTCGAAATGCTTGAAAAATATGTAATACAATGTTCCTCATAAGTCATAAGTGATTATAATAGCAGTTGAGAAATATAAGAGATTAATATAGGCCTGATTTTTTTTATAAGTATTTAAGTTCAAATTTTGACAAAATTCACCAAAAACTCAAACTTTAGCAAATTAGTTTGTCATTAAAAATGTATTAAATGTTAAATTTTTATTGTTAAGAATTAAAAATTTAAAACAAGAATTCTCATAGTTATACTATAACAAAAAATCTAAAAAATATTTAAATAGTATTTTTGTACAGACATTTTAAAAATAATGGTTTTAGTAATTTTGTTGTAATTTCAAAATATTATTCGTGGGTATTTGAATCTCGTAAAATACATTTTAGAATGTCATTTATTTGCAAAAATAAATTTAACCGTGTAGCTGTGTTTGAATACCAGTAGAAGTTGAATGAATTGAATTGAATTAAATATAAAAATTATATCACCGAATTTAATTCCAAGCTAAAACCAGCCAAAAACGAATTGATAGTCCAAAACAATAGGAGTATTGACTAGACTATACTAAAGATAGATGTACTCAACCAAAATAATATAATAAAATATTTAAAAATAATGATGGGTTTATTCTTCTTACTAAAATATAAAAATATCACCGTGAATTTAGATGCCATTTGTTTTTTAATTAGTTGACAAGTACTTCCATACCTCTAAAAGATTCAAAACAATAATATTATTACATTACAATATTACCTATATATTATTTTATCCGGAAATGGTAAATTCTGTTTACGAAACAAAAAACGATTGATTATTCAATAGGCAGTATCTATGAGGTAAATTACTTAGTAGGTACCTACTGTTCATTAAATAATTGTTTTTAGTCAAGAGGTCATGGTTTCGTCCATGTGATAAGTTGAGAAAATTATTGTTCTAATGAGTTGATTATTGTAACTATTTGATTAATTACATATTGCAATCCATAAAACACATACCTACCTACGTTATTTTTAAAATGTAATTTTAAATGTTATAATTGTATAAGAATAAATTTATCTTACTGGACAGTGGACATTAATTAATTTATATAAACGTTAATTCCTCTTTCTGTATCATATATAAAAAAAACTAGACTTTAGTTTTTTTAATGGATATATGAAAACAATTTATTTCACTTCTGAAATACGACTTTTAAATTATGAATATTCCAGTAAATAATGAAATTTGGTGTTTTTTCTAAACTATTTTAGTACCTAATCACTATTTCTATTACTCACTCTTAAAACCTTGAATAAATTGTTTCCTAAAATCATAGTATTTTTCAAAAATGTAAAAAGAAACAATGTTGTAACAATAACCAGGGAAAAATGCGTATAAGTATTAGCTAGGTTGGTATTGAAAATTAAGTATATTATTGTATGTAGAAATTCGACAAGATATTTAAACTTTAAATAAATAATTATAAACCTACGCAGTAAAATGGCACTATATAATATTATATAATTACTGTGTTTGAAAAACATAAATTATTTTTTGTCAAACACGTTTTTCAAAAATAATACTTGTTACCTATACTTATATATAATAACAACTTTATTAAATAAGACATAAAGTGGACTGCTGACCATGTGAGTTGCCAATTGGACACAGTTTACTACTCAGTACAATGTGTACATAGCTATTTTAAAGAGAATACCTACCAGTGGCGTACACAGCTATTTTCAATGGGGGGGGCTTACATATAAAAAATTTTATACATATATAATATATATTATACATTGATAAATCAAAATGATGTACCTACCTATAGTAATTATTTTGTACATAATGATTAATGAGTAATCATCTCATTAGCAATGGCCAATGACTTAAGGTGAAATTAAAAATATTTTTACAATAGGTACTCGATTATTACTTAAAAAATATATACCTATTATCTACAGGTAATTATTTTGTATAACTACAAAGCTACAAGCGTACATACAAAATGTATATAATAATATATTATATACAATTCAATAAAAGATAGGTATAAAAAGAAATTTATTTTTATCATATTAATCATTTTTTTGTACCTAGGTCCTAGGTTGATAATATAATATTATAATGTATTAAATATTTACCTGGTTCCTCCGAGTTAATTGTATCACAAATTAGTGAGTTAGAAAAATATTCGTTTATTCTTTTCATTTTTATTGTTTTATAAAATATTTTATATATATTTAAACAGTAAGTACAATTTACTAAACGTCCAAAGAGTCAGGAATTTGATTGAAAACTGAGAAATAGATTCTATATCTATACTATAGTATTAGCGATACTGAGATAGCTATTAAGGCATATTATATCGGATTACACGATTGTCGACCCTCATGTTTGTGTTTGAACAAATTTCCCAATAATTTCATTAATTTGTAACAAGTTATCAATAATATCTACAATATATTATAACAACAAACTGGGTTGCTTATAAGTTATAATATAATGGAGTATAATTTGGAATATAACATTTTTTTAAATTGTCATCATTTTTATTATACATTTTTACGTTATTACGTAAACTGAAAAAATACTAAAGGGGGGGGGGGTTTGAACACCCAAAACCCCCCCCCGTGTGTACGCCACTGATACCTACATATTGTAATAAATACAATTAAGAGTACGTCACAACCGTATGTGTTGTCTCCGTCTTACACACGTACTACATAGACAAAACGCGTTTACGCAGTCTGAGTAGAACTCGCTCAATTTTGGTTTTAGAGTAAAAATACCTATTATAAAATTGAATTGTGACAATATTTCTAAAGGCATGTCGTTGCGTTTTTTCCAATATAACCAATATAACGTTCATTATATCGTTTAGAAATAGAAAATACGTCAACATTTTTAAAATACCTTTAACTTATCAAAATTCAAATTAAAACAAAAAAACGCAGTGACTTCCCTTCAGAAATATTGTCACAATTCAATTTTATTATAGGTATTTTTACTCTAGAACCAAAATTGAACGAATTCTACTCAGACTGCGTTTTGTCCATGTCATACGTGTGTTAGACGGAGACAACACATGTGGGTGTGACGTCTTCTTAAAGAATACAATTAATAAAATAGAATAAAACGTCAATTGTAACAACTCTACTAAGTAGTTTAAATAGTAAAGCTATATAGGCTTATATATAATCAGTAGGCTAGTATAATATTATTTAGGAATCAATTACGTTCTACAAAATATTAAGGTGTTATATTTATTATCATTCTGACATTATCGAATATCTTACATTATATTTATTAATTAATGGCACAACACCGGAAACCGTGCCATTGCTTAAATTCCATTTTATTGGTTTATATGAAATTAAAAAAGCATAAAACGTTGTTTAAATTTACATCCATACTCCATCAGTAACTAGTAAATTTCTTTAAATAAATATTATTTGACATGCTTGGAATAATTAGAAATAAGTTATTTTCTTATTGTTCTCCGAAAATGAATAACCATAATATGTTCCATATATTATATGAATTTACATGATTTCCACATATTTCCAATATGTTTGGACTTTTTCAGATAATTATAATTTTTTCGACTTATGTTGATACACTTTTTTCTAAGTCATTAAGCCTGAACATTGAATACATCATGAGTTCCTTATAAGTTTTTCTTTCCACAAATAAAAATATACCGAAATTTAAAAAAAAACTAAAACTAATGTACGTATAAACCGGAATTTATGAATACATTTATGCAAAAATTATACTTTAATACTTAGACATTGAAAAATAAATTACCTTTTTATCATTTGGTATTAATATTTTATTAAATGTTTAATTAATTGATATATTTTATATTTAAAGCATAAACAATATATTTTGAAACTTAATATATTGTAATTAATTATGAAACTTATAGTAGATATAGGTACGATAAATAAATGTGTTTTTACAGGGTCCTACGATTCCAGCAATGAATGCTTTGTTGGCTCAATGGGTTCCTATCGGTGAACGATCACGTATTGGGTCATTTGTATTTGCAGGTAAATATTAATGGAATATAATATAGGTACCAAATATTATTAACCGACCAGAAGTTAAATGTTTTGCTGTTGTTATCAGGAAATATGATTGGCACGATTGTGGCTCAAAGTTCCGCTGGGTATTTGCTTAAGATTACTGATGATAATTGGCCGTTGGTGTTTTATGTCTGTGGCGTTGTAGGGTTGATTTGGTATGTCTTCTGGAACCTGTTGGTATATAGTTCACCGAACGAACACCCCACAATAACCGATTACGAACTTGCATATCTAGAACGTAATCTGAAAGGAGTAAATAAAAATAAGGTAAACATTCATTGTTCGTACTCATTATATCACAGTTTTATTCGTATATCCAGATTCTAAACTTACATTTACTTCGTTTCAGAATACATTAAAATCTACACCATGGATGTCAATGTTGTCGTCAGGTCCCATGTGGGGCTTAATGATAGGTCAAATCGCTCACGACTGGGCTCTATTCATGATAAATGCTGATTTGCCGAAGTACATGAAGAGCGTCATGAAATTTTCTATTGCAGAAGTGAGAAAACCAAATTAATACTTTCGATTATAATTTTAAATTTATTATATTTTTATGTTATATAATTGCATAGGTAAAATTACTGTAATACAAATTAATTATTGTAAATTCTATAGTTTTTCATAGATATTTTTCTTATAATACATATATGTATTATGTATAATAATTAATTATTACCAAATTAATACATTTTATACATATAGCAATCAAATAATATAATATTTAAAATTGTTTAGACCGGTGTATGGAGTTCAATGCCGCATGTATTGATGTGGGTTTTCGCCATATTAACAGGATGGTTAAGTGACTATTTGATATCCAATGGAAAATTGGGAATATTACAACAGAGAAGATTATTCTCGACCATAGGTATTACAATATATTTATTTATTACAGCTGAGTTTTGTAAAATAATTATTTTAAATTTATTTAATTTTACAAAGGTCATCGTTATGCTTATCTATCAAACAATAATATTTAGTACAACAAAATTGTGTTATATTAATTCAGATCTATGGATAAAATATTTTTATCTGAACTTCACAAATTTGAAACTACTAAATGGTTTAATGAATAACTTAGAATTCAGCTTGATTCCTTATATTAAAAAAAAATGTATTTGGATTTTAAATCTTCAGTTTTGTACTTTCGATGCTTAGGGTGAAACTAGGTATGTTCGTGTTATAAGTCATTTTGAGATATTTGTTTACGTTACACTATAACGAACATATTTATTCGCCGGTAATCCTCAAAATAGCATCAAATTCGAAATATTGTGGTACTGTTGTCGACTGACGTACTGTCATCGAGTGAGTGAAATGTGAAATACTTGTAGTTATCAAAATTATACTTTAATTCTTTAATATTAACTATTTAATAAATTCAATATAAATAGTTCCTTATATATCCCTATAATGACCATTTCAATCGAGTTGTAATTGCTTAAAAAATTTGGAAATGTTTAGCTTGTATTGGACCTATGTTGGGGACATTAGCAGCATCGTATGCCGGTTGCGACAAGATAAAAGTAGTCGTTCTTTTCACCGTTGGTATGGCCACTATGGGATTCTTTTATTCAAGCATGAAAGTTAACGTAATGGATTTGAGTCCAAATTATGCTGGTCCTGCAATGGCCATGGTAAACGGAGTTGGAGCCGTCGCTGGAATCGTTTCACCTCCCCTCATCGGATATCTCATACCAAATGTAATATTCACACGCAGTATTTTTATATATTCATTATTTGCAACTATTGTTAATGATTTTTATTTACAGAATACTCTATTGGAATGGCGTAATGTGTTCTGGATTAGTGGTGGTGTAGTCATCGTAGCGAACTCGATATATTTGGTATTGGCCTCGGCATCCATACAGTGGTGGAATGATCCGGTGCCGACTTCCGAGACTGATGATGGTGGTGTGTAATTTATAATAATAATAATTTATTGCACTAAATTTGAATAATTAATTCATCATACATCAGGTGATATACCTACTAAATTCATATTATCAGCACATATTTGTTCTTATTTTATCTTATTTTATCTCATTTATATTTTTGTATTCTAAAAATGATTAAGACTTATAAGTAATTATGATACATTTTAGTAGCTTAAAAAATTAAATTTGATTTTCATCATAGTCAAACACTCAACATAATAAAACAAAATATTTTTAAATTTCTAAGTTTGGAATCAAATATATAATTTGGCTTTATTTTATAATATTATGAATTATGATAATGATTTAAGCAAAAAAGACATTTGACATTTGTACTTTGCACAAATAAAAATAACAGCCTTTTACAATTAATACACTCTATAAACCTCATGGATTTTTTTAAATGTTCCAGATACTGATTTGTAAGAAATGTGTTTATTGAGAAGTGTTTGTTCAAAACAGCTGAGAACATTATTACAAAATATGTGATAGGCGGGGACAGTGTGACTTTATTATATTATGCAATCAAGTTTAATTTGGAATATTAATAACTCATCTATATTTGATTTGTTGCATTGATAATTGATATTCAAATTGTTGGAATGCTACAGCAGTGGAAATATTTTTAGACATGAATTGATTTTTCATTAACGTATTATAATTAAATTAGATTTTTCAACTGTACTTGGGTGATTCAAAATTTAAGTATGAAATCTTTTTTTTTTGAATAACAATAAGTACTTGGTTGAAGTTCATATATTATATAATTCATAAAATAATAATTGTCAAAGAATAATTGAAATTCCACTTTTTGTACCAATACATATTTGTATGAAAAGTTACTCTAGTCATAGTTTTAATTTCAGACTATGTATGTAGATATACTCTTACGTATATGTAATATGTGTTGCCTATATTATGTTATTAATTAAAGTATTAAACCATCAGTTCACTTGTAGTTAGAATCTTCTTGATTCTTATGATTTTAGCAAACATTAAAGTTTAATGACTAAACCATGTCAATTATACGTCCATGCTGACATTTTCAGTGTAAAAATAATTATACTTTAGAATTTTAGAATAGTCATTTTATTTAATTTAGGTAATTTATATTTTCATGTGTTTGAACGTTATTATATTGTATAATAGTTTATTAGTCATAGCTCATAATATTGACATTGTCAATATTTTTATTAATTAAATATGATTGATAAGTAATAATTTTATAATTATTTCTACCTATTGATTGACATATTCATGATATTGTGTAATAATATTCGTAACTTTCATTGAATAGAAATGCTTTATCATATTATATAATACCTTAGTATCTATATTTAAGTAGATTCATTTTTTGTTAACCTAATATTATTTCTTCGTAGTAATGTAATAATTTTAAGAATGTACCTGAATAAATAATTAGTAGTATAAATATGTGTTTACATATTTTGGTAATGTTTAATATGTACACAAATTACATTATATTTGTTGAATGAACCAGTATTGCTTAAATATCAAACAATTATTGTAGTTGAGCAAACAATATGCTGTTTATCTATAAGTAAGCAAATAATGTTACTTACACAAGGAGTATTTTTTATCTTGAATATGGTTCTATCTACGTCTGTTTAATGATTTGTTGTAGTTATTCGTAAAAATAAATGGGATATATATAAAATATTAAAATCAACATACCTAATATAGTCTTATATTCTTATTATATGAATCATATTATTATATAAATTTAAATTTGATTTGTCTCTAATTTCCGTAGATTTTTATGATTTATGAATATAATATAGTAAACAACTATAGTCGTTTGAACTATTAACCATTACCTAATTTAATGTTTATCGTTTATGAATAAAAATTCATATACATCTTATAAGCAGTATAGACCGGCGATAATCTCTTTTAGGTTTACAGCTGTCTCCACTGACCTGGCATATAGTAAGTTTGATTGGCTATTTACGATCTTGTTCTAAAGTACGAAATGGTTTGAAATGTAGAGAAAAAGAATAGTTGTTGGCAAAACCTAAGTTTACCGAAATCTTAACATATTTTACAGTTTTGCCAAAACGCACCCATTTAGAACGGCGCTTCAGGTAGGCAATTTGGTAACTACTTTTCTGAGTGGAGCGAGAAATGTAATATTGTATTGTTTTACAATGTTGTGAATTATTTTTTTACATGCACAATAACATGTCTTTTTTATTAACGCTTTTTTGTTATACTTGTTTTCAGTTGATATGGTGAAATAATTTGTTATTATGACAGTATATGATTAACGCGTAAAATTGTTAAAATATAAATAACTATTTTTTGAATTCCTTGCAATTAAAAATATATGTCCAATATCCAATGTCTCCTGTACTTCCAACTTAAAACGTTTGTAACTATTTTTAGGTTTCAGTACAATCGATGAATTTTAGGATACAATTCGGTATACAAACGGTATAAACCCTTACCTAACCTAATCTTAACTTTAATTCATTACAACTTATAAAATCAATGATATTATACTATAATAGCCTACAGGAACCTAACAGCAATTTAGTTGGCTTAGTGTCATTTGTGGTGTACAACTGGTGTAGGTTTTATTTTAACGAGTTCATAATTACCATCTGGATAATATAGCTGATAACTTTTTAAAATGTCTTCGAAAAAATTTTTAAATTTAAAGTATATTCTTAACTGATGAATAATCCATACAGTCGTTAATAATAAATAGGTACCTACATAAATGTTTTATTTTTTTTGAATCTATAAAACCATAATACTTAATAATATTTTTATTTTGTCATGTTTATTTCAATAATTATTTATTTTATATAAATTCACTGAATTTAATAAAAATGTATAGTGTAGACCACATCACATTGAAGATGGCCATTTTTGACATCATTTAATTTTCAAATGTTAAAAAAATACAATTGATACATCTATTTACTTTTACCCAATATTGAACACACTCTCAATAGCGGACATTTATACATTTCTCGGGTTAAATAAACATGGGACTTAATGGACAGGTTACCCGCCTGATACAAGACACATTTAAATTAACCTATGGTTACCGCTATAGAGGTTTTTAATTCTATTATTTTGTTAAAAAGTAACGATTTCTATAAATTTTCGACCAAAATATATATATATAGACAATTTGAGCTATATCGCTTATATTTATACCACTAAATACTGCTTTTGTTCAAGCTGTAAAATGTCATAAATAATATAATAATAATATTTTAGTCATTAAATTATAGGTCACCTATAGGCTATAACACCTATATCTAGATGTCTATAAATACACCTTTGTTATTGGTTATATAATTTTATCTTTAGGCGTTTTCTTTAGTGTAAACATATTATGTGTAATAATAAATAATTGTATTTTTATGGTAATTTATTTTGGTTATTTGAAACCATTGTTTTTCATCGTTTGGTGCATATTATGTAATAACTAATAAATAATAATTTGTGGACTTGTGATAAAGTAATTGCAAATTACAAGTACCCATTGAGTAAATATATTTTTATATTCACTATAGGTATTCATATTTTTATGTGGGGGCCTCGCAAATCAATATGCCGGTAGGTACTGGCTGTGATAAGTTGGATGTGAACATTGAGACAAGTGTTTTATTATGGCTATGATTATTCGTTTTTGATTCATTTGCCTTTTACATAATAAATAATGACAGGATGTTATAATAAATCAATTGATTGGTACTGAAGCTTTAACTTTTATAGCTACCTGTACACTTACAATAGTAATTAATTACCCTAGGATAGTTGGATATCATAGCCAATGTATGATTTTTGCATAATTTTACCATTTGACAACCAGTATTGATAAAAATAATAATAATAACTCTATTGCAATAATATCTTATCTTTACATATTTTAACAAAAAATTGAGTATAGATAAGTAGTGGATTGAATGAATTTTAAGAAATTTAAGAAAGTAGATTTATATTTATACTTTGTAGTGTAGTTTATATCAAGGTTTGTACCTTTATTATATCGTGTTACATTTAGGTTTAAATCATATTACGTTTCATCGAATGTATTGTATATTTTATTTTTAAATATCAGATACTTTTTTGAAAAAAATCATTTATTTATAATCCAAATTAAAAATGAACACATAACCACAGAGTTATTTTAGTTTATAGTGTTTTGTAATTCCAATTGTTAAAATTATTGTAGGTACCTATGTACTTATAAATACTAAAATGTTTAAATATTATTGTATCGAGTGTAGTTTTGGAACAATTCCATGTATAAAGTACTAGCAATTTTTCGTCGGGTTAAACTTTTTGCCATCCATCTCAACACGACGTAGTTTTGACGTGAAAACAATAACAAATTTCTGTAGTCACTCTTCGAGCGCTACGCCAGATGCCATCTCGAAACGTTAACATTTCGTATACTCAGCCAAAAACCTTTTGCTTACCTACATCCGTGCCTAACTGTGTACAGATTATACATATATTGTTGTGCGCGTCTATTGTTCCTGGCAGTAGCTGTCATACACGGTGACACATTACAACGTAGATAATATTATGTATCCATATAATGTCTAATATTGACAATTATTCTGATGGCCTTCCATAACAGTATTTCGTTTCGGTTTTCGTCACTGTAGCGCCCGCTGTAATGTGGCGATGGAACTCACTCGACGACGTGTGCCAACTGCCAAGTGTGGTACGAACACAAAGGTCATTAAACGCTATTATTACCGGCAATAATTTGATTGATTGTGACAAATGGTGTACGAAAGTAATATGTGTGTATTATTATGTTTACCGCTAAAGCCGGTTTTGTATGTGAACGCAAACGATAACATACGAATTAAAAAATAAACAAACACTCTCACGGTCTGTTTTTGTATATTATTATTAACTATTTAGGCTTTTTAATATGTATGCCGTGTACGGCGCTTACCTTAAACTACTTTTAAGGAGTACCTATGTAATAG